GGGAGCTGTAATCAGGGAAGTAACTTTCCATATGAAAGGGGTGCAGGTGCACCCCCGTCCCCCATCCACTAGAAGTGCACCCCCATAGGCTAAGCGGCGCCCCACACGCCGCCCCACACCGATTAGCTCTAGAGCAGATGGCGAGGGTGATTTCCCGGCTACATGCCATCTCGGCGTCGTGATGCTTGTGGGCTTGGAAAATGTCCAGAGGGTAGTGTAGGGGTAGGGTTGAGCTCAATAAGGTCCTTACATTTGAAAGGTTTGAACAACCCGCAATCAGCACAACATACCACAAGTTAAATAAAAAACTACCAAACTCCGCCCAACTAATATTAATAAACATTACAGCCAAACTAATGGTCTAAATAAAAATATATCTCAAATCCTAACAGTTCTCGCGGGTGATGGCTCCATGAGTTGCTATTATCCAAAACAGATGCAAATAAACATGTTTGTATGTTATATGTATGTATGTTTGTTTTAACCCTCGCCCGTATAGGGGGATCGAACGGACCCCCCATGGTTTTTCGCGAATAACTCGCGTAAAAAGCGGCCGATCGCAACGAAACTTTCAGTACCCTCGCGTTAATCAATTTTACACCTACCCTGAAAATTTCATGACCCTGACCCTAATGACCTTTGACCTGTGACCTACTTTTCGAGACCATGTTTGGCCGGAATCGCGATTCGGCGTATGTCGGCTCGCATTAGCCGCGCGTTTGCAGTCTTTTCGTGGTCTCAAGCGTTCAAACATGTGATATGATGTTGCCCCCATGCATTAGGGTGGGTGTCAAGGTCACCTGAAGGTCAGGTCAGGTCATTGACCTTTGGTGACCTCGGTTCACTTTTTCGAGTTTTACATGTTTCTAGGCCAGTTTTTGGAGCTGAATTCGAATTTAGCAACCATATGAACATTTACGAAGTAGTTTTGGTGCCTTCGTAACATGTTACGAAGCTGTCAGAGACGGTTGACACCTACTAGGAATACCCGGCAGGACCCCTACTGGTTGACCTGACCTGACCTGACCCGACCTGGACTAAATGCATGAAGACATCATCTGTGATCAAAACTAACATGATATTCGTGATCAGCGCCCCGGAAAATCCCATAGCAGCCACACTTTACGACGTTCTAACAGGTCCCGATTTTCCGACTTTTGGGTCATTGACCTGACCTGCAAGGTCAACCAATGACCTAGGACCTTAAAATTAGGTATCATCGGCTTCCTCTCGTCACGGGCAACACGCTCGTTTTTTCCGCGAAGCTCTAGCTCGATCAGGGGCGAAACGGCAAGGGGGGGGGGTCCAACGGACCCCCCCCCCCCTTATACGTTCGTGGCTGGAAAAACACCAATACGGGCGAGGGTTAAAAACGTTGCAGCGGCGCTGGGAACTGCAGTCTTAGATCTGGGTATGTTTAGCATCTGCAACTCTTCATATACACATTAACCCCATTTCGGACGGGGGAGGCCTTTCAGGATTTTCTTGTACAATTGTCAAACGCCGCGAGACATTCAGCTCATATTTGGTGACTTGTCCTAAATGCTCATTGCGCACATCTCAGCAAAAAAAAAAAAAAAATGCCGGGTCAGGTCAGGTCAGGTAACCAGAGCGGGTTTGTTGACCCCACCTCAGAAAAGTTTGCAATCACGTCAGAGCTTGAGTTTTTCACGAAGTTATTTCCTCTCATCAAGTCTTCAAAACAGTACTTGCAGTAGGTATGTGTCGTTTGTATATCTCAGAATTTTTTATCTGTGACCTGAGGTTAGGTCAGAGTCGTGACCTTTACATTGCAAGCCTATGAAAAATATTGAAATGCGACCTGCCTCGAGTAAACGAGTCAAAACCGCCCAATTCTTTAAGAATTATGACAAATTATCTAATCTGTAATGATCCAGGTGCCATTTACTGACAGGGACACCGGAGAGGGTTATCTGAGGGCGAGATCATGTGAGGTGATATCTACCAATTACCATACATCAATGCTCACAATACTTACAATATTGACAATGCTTACAATGCTGTTACAATACTTACGATGAGACCAGCAAGCACTCTGCCGTTACAGTTCAAACTTCTGTTTCGAAAACCGACGTTACACACATTCGCTGCCAGCATAACATGTATTGTTTGACAGTAACAAAATACAATTGACATCTGAACCCCAAACGGACCGCCATCCACTCAAATTTTATAACCCTGACCGGTCAGGGGGCGAATGGAGGTCATCTCCTGGGCATTACACTCAGCCCTTGCACAAAATATCTCACCTCACACTTCACAGTGATCATTACAATATCTCCGACTTGATAGTGGATTTCAAAGTACTTGCATCAGCTCTTCTTGCTATTGCAGACGATCATCTCCTCAGGGTGATGTTGTTCGGGACATAAACGAAGATCGTTTTCGGAGTTTCATAAGTGCTACTGCAACAGCCTGGCACAAAACAGGACTTGTACGCTTTTCTCTGCACTTTGCCCGTCAGTAGGGTAAGGTGCCTAATTAGCGACCCCCTTAATTTGAACCGTCATTGCTCACGCTCTGTGGGTGCCACTGTATTACTGGCTTGATTTTCGGAGAGATCGTTCATTTTTCTATTAAAATATAGTCATTTTCTGCCCCAATATTCACTAACTTATTTGTAGTGTGCATTTTGGCAAACCATTGCAAAAAACGCTAATAGGGAACTCTTCCCGATTAGCGACCGGGGAGGGTCGCTAATAAGTCTATGGGTTTCCCCATATTAAAAATGGCAAAAAATGCGACGCCTGAAAAGATGAAATATGATCTCAAAAAGGTAACCTATACGCAAAGCACTCAATCACTCGAACATGCACGTTTATCCAACACATTTACGTAAGTAAAAACTGATCACGTGATGCACTGAAGGCGAAAAGAAGGCGGAAACCCAAATTTTGCGGGCTATCTCGTATGATATTCGAGGTCCGCGCTGAATTCGGCACTCCTGCAGTCGGTGACGACATTTGGTATCCCCTGCCACACATTGCAAGCTTCAGCAACATCTCATTTTCATTTCTCTCTTTTCCCCTTTCTTTCCCTTCTTGAGCTATTTGCGACCATGTCAGGCGCAAATAGGAAATATGAGTTGCGACACATTTTTAACCGCCATGCTGTGCACAGTTGAGCGATTCACTATGGGAAAACGGCAATCAATTGAAAAAGGAATGTCGATTCAGAATAAAAAAGGTGCATCATCCTAATGTGCATCGCTTTTCATCAGAGAGGGCCCAAACACACACGTTTTGGATAAGAAACTCGTCATTTTTATTTAAACTCACCTGAAACGGCCCACCAGAAACATCGACGACCGGAAAATAATTTAATTTGCTAACCAAAGTATGGCTGACTTTTTGACGATGTTTTTACCCCGTTTTCTCCTGCCAGTTTTTCTGTAGGGTGGTAGGTCGCAAATCGGAAAGGGTCGCTAATTAGGCACCTTACCCTATATCACAAAATAATTGTTTAGAATCCATCTTACGCTTCTTTCACAGTCTCCCTTGCCACCGTAGGGCGTAGATAGGTTGCTGTTGCTGGTAAGTTAGGGCACGGTAGATAGAAATTACCTCGGTTCTCAACGCCTTAATTTATTTTTATGAAAAAGAACAAAACAATTATTAATAAGATTAGAGAAATTTTAAAATTTTAATTGTAAATTAGGCCAAATGCGTATTGGAAAGGCTTTTGCCCTTCAGCATCTTCCGATTCATCATGTTTTTCATTTGAAAATTCGAGGTTCACAAAATGTTTACCACGCGCTCAATGTTAAATGGGAACAGTACACGCAGACGCATCAATTTTTGACACTGAACCTTTCATTCGTGAATGCTTTAGCATAATTTAAAGCTAAAAACAGCGCGAATGGCAGAGTGAAACAAACAACCTCTTTCACATATAGAAATAACATGTAATCGGTGGTGCGCCAGATGCGCCATTATTTGTCAACCGCAGAAGGTGACATGTGACGTAACAGCCATCAAGAGCGTCTTTTTCAAGAACTTTAAAAAATATGTTTTCTATCTGTCTTCCCCCATTTCTCTCAGCATAATGCTTTTATGAGGAAACTGTATGCACCATAAATTCTGCAAAAATAGTCTGATCATTTCTATACATTCTTCAAAAATCGAGTTCCCAGCCCCATTTACCATTCATTGTTAGAGAAAATTGCATTTAAAATCTTCCATTTATACTTTATCATCGCTTGCACAATATGTTCTTTTACTAAGCTGGAAACACTAATTAGAAATAGTTCCCGCATCATCGCCAAGAACAATAGGAAAGGCTTGAAGTGAATATAATAATTTAAACGGTTTTGTAATCTATGTGAAGACACTTCTAAAACTGCCTGTAGAAATATTGAAGGCAAAAGTTCAACCTTTTCACAGGACGGATGTCTATAAACCTATTCAACGTGTGACAACTCAGCCGGTATTTCGTCGCCTACAGCCCAGCTTTCCCTAGTGACCGATAGAGGCGCTCCTATCGATGTCCGCCCGTGCCGCCTAACGAAGTTGCGACAGTTGAAGACCGTGCAGAGGCTCACATATGACGTCATCCACATCAACCACATTTCCAGGATAGGTCAGTGACCTGACCTGTCCTGGAAATGTGGTTGACGTCACAAGATCCGGCTTGAGTCAAAGGTCAGGTATGCCAGCTCTCTATTTCCGGTATGTTCGGAGCTATTGTACTAAAAAGAACCTATGGGGGCGACACCCCCCCCCCCCCTCTTCTTCCCTTCGGCCGGCGAGGGTTAACCCTCGCATGCGTGCGGCGTTTGCCAGTGTCGGGATGTCTGCAAACAGTGGATGCAAGAAGATCACTCTGTTTATTTTTCACGAACACAGGAATCAATTTACTTCTTGAAAAGTCACGGCTCGAGATAAACTAAATGCAGAGTATGCATGAGTGGCTTTCACCAGGAGAAAGTAAAGAAAGCATATACAGGTGACTTCATGCGGGAGATATCCGCTTATGACATCTCACATCTCCCCCCTAAGACCACCCATATTGCTCCGCTGCCGCTTGGCTGAGCGCTCAACACTGTCACGAGCAAGCTTGTCCATGTTGGCTGCTTTCAGGCGCTCGGAGCGACGCAGCGTCGTCATTTCTTCCACATTGGCGGGACGTGCACTGGCGTCAGCCGTGAGTGTGACGTTGATAGGCTTCAACGACTTGCGGTTTCGAAGGACAAGGCGCCCAGATCCATCTAGCCTCACAGTGTACTGGCGGATGCTGTGTTTAGTCGCCACGATGACCCCTGTCCGTTCCCAACGTCTCGTCCTCTCATCCTGTACACGGACTGCTTGGCCGGCCTGGAGACGAGGGAGCGCCGGCATGACTGACTGAGCCGCGCGCGTGATCCGCTCTGCCATCCTCTCCTCCCTCTCAGCCAGGTAATCGGTCCAGTGCTCGGCGACCTGCAGGTGTACCTTGGCCACGGGCACGCCTCCTCGCAACTGACGACCCATCAGGAGCTGGGCCGGCGACTTGTTACCGTCTCGAAGAGGCGTGTTGTGGTACTGGATAAGCGCTGCCACAGCCGCATCCGTGTCCACAGTACCACGCGCTGACATGTTGTCCCGAAGGATAGTCTTGGCTGATTTCACCGCCGCCTCCGCCCTGCCGTTGGACTGTGGGTAACCAGCGGACGACTGACGAATGGTTACTCCCCATCGAGCTAGGAAGGAGCGCATATCAGCGCTCACTAGGCTGGCTCCGCCGTCCACAGAGAGCTCCTCGGGGACTCCACTCTCATGGAAATAGCGTCTGAGCAGCGTGACGAGTTGCCTGGTCGTCGTGGTGCAGAGGAAATCAAGCTTGATCCAGCCAGTGAGTCGGTCTGCGTAGACTAGGTAGTGGTTCCCCCGGATCTCGAACAGATCGGCGACCACGCGCTGGAACGGGTAGTCCGGCGGCGGTGTCATGATCAAGGGCTCGCTGGCCTGAGACGGTGCATGGCGGTCGCACTCAGTGCAGTGGGCTCTGCTGCGATGAATATCCGCCTCGAAGCCGGGCCAATAGACCGAGGCTCTGGCGCGCCGCAGCATACTGTCAGCACCTTGGTGGGCTGCGTGCAAGTTCCGGGCCACCTGTTTGCGGAGAGACACGGGTATCACCAGTCGGAGTGGGCCGTCTTCGAATGAGTAACAGATCAATCCGTCTGCTATGCTCAATCTATCTCTAACTTTGTGAAATGTCTTCATCTCTCCGGCTTCCTGAGTCGGGCTAGCCGGCCAGTTGCCCGTCTGCACTCGCTGTCTCAATTGCAAGTAGCCGTCCCACTCAGAAAGTTCAGTTTACCGGCTGTTGGCCGTGGCTGACACTGGCGCGGAGTGCTGCGTCGCAGGACTGGATCAGATGCGCGCTCTTCACCTGACCGAGGGCAACATCGATCCGGCTGACGCCAATCTCCGGCACGCCGGTGGCGGCGCACTGAAGGTGCTGGGTTCGAAAACCTGTCACCTGCGCGTAGGGGACCGAGTGACCACTGAGCTGGTCTTCTTCGTCAGGGGTGTGAAGAGGCTTTTCCTGTCAATTGGAGCCTGCAAATCACTAAATCTCGTGCACGCCAACTTTCCACACCACACCCGGAGCCCATGTACCGACGCGGTCGTGAAGAACGTGACGACTGGAGATTTCGAGGTGCGCGGACCGCGTACATCACAGGCCGCAAATGTGCAGACCGGAGAGAATCCAGCGGGTGTGGGACTACCCAAGAGACCGAATCGTCTGCCGTTCGCTCCGTCCGAGGCTAATGTGCCTCAGCTGGAGGAATACCTGCGTCAGAGTTTCGCAACCACTGCATTCAACAATGAGGCCACCCCGCTGCCGGCCATGAAAGGGCCGCCTCACACCATCCACTTGCTGCCCGGTGCTGTGCCATACGCCCGGCACACACCCATCCCAATCAGTAAACACTGGGAGGACGAGGTGAAGGCCCAACTGGACGAGGATGTGAGGAGGGGAGTCATCGAGAAGGTGCCGGCTGGCGATCCTGCGGTCTGGTGCGCGCCGATGGTAGTGGTGGCGAAGGCTAACGGACGACCGAGGCGAACAGTAGATTTTCAGGAGCTGAATAAGTTCTGTCGCCGTGAAACCCACCACACAAGGCCGCCTTTTGATATGGTCTCTTCAGTGCCCAACCACACCTACAAGACCACGCTCGACGCATTCTGGGGCTTCCACCAAGTCCCCCTAGCGGAGGAGAGCCGGCCGCTGACCACTTTTATTACACCGTGGGGCCGGTACAGATACTTGCGGACTCCGATGGGCCACATATCAGCCTCCGATGCCTACACCAAGCGGTACGATGACGCAGTAGTCGACATCCCAAGGAAATTTAAATGTGTGGACGATGTACTTCTGCATGACAAGAGCATCGAGGGCGCCTTCTGGCACTGCTGGGATTACCTGACCCGGTGCGCTGAGGCTGGTGTCACACTGTCACCGGAGAAGTTCCGCTTCTGTCGGGGCCGCGCCATGTCGGGATGTCTGCAAACAGTGGATGCAAGAAGATCACTCTGTTTATTTTTCACGAACACAGGAATCAATTTACTTCTTGAAAAGTCACGGCTCGAGATAAACTAAATGCAGAGTATGCATGAGTGGCTTTCACCAGGAGAAAGTAAAGAAAGCATATACAGGTGACTTCATGCGGGAGATATCCGCTTATGACATCTCACAGCCAGCTTCTAATGTGTAGGGGGGTCGGTTGGACCCCCCCCCCCCTGCCGTTTGGCCCCTGATCGAGCTAGAGCTTCGCGGAAAAAAACGAGCGTGTTGCCCGTGACGAGAGGAAGCCGATGATACCCAATTTTAAGGTCCTAGGTCATTGGTTGACCTTCCAGGTCAGGTCAATGACCCAAAGTCGGGAAAATCGGGACCAATTAGAAAGTCGTAAAGTGTGGCTGCTAAGAGGTTTTTAGGGGTGCTGATCACGAATATCGTGTTAGTTTTGATCACAGATGATGTCTTTAAGCATTTAGACCAGGTCGGGTCAGGTCAGGTCAGGTCACCCAGTAGGGGTTGTGACGGGTATTTGTAGTAGGTACGTGTCAACCGCCTCTGACAGCTTCGTAACATGTTACGAAGGCACCAAAACTACTTCGTAAATGTTCAAATGGTTGCTAAATTCGAATTCAGCTCCAAAAACTAGCCTAGAAACATGTAAAACTCGAAAAAGTGAACCGAGGTCACCCGAGGTCTCCAAAGGTCAGTGACCTGACCTGTCCTTCAGGTGACCTTGACACCCACCCTAATGCATGGGAGCAACATCAAATCACATGTTTGAACTTTTGAAACCACGAAAAGCTTGCAAACACGCGGCTAATGCGAGCCGACATACGCGGAATCGCGATTCCGGCCAAACATGGTCTCGGAAAAGAGGTTACAGGTCAAAGGTCATTTGGGTCAGGGTCATGAAATTTTCAGGGTATGTGTAAAATTGATCAATGCGAGGGTACTGAAAGTTTCGTCGCGATCGGTCGCTTTTTACGCGAGCTATTCGCGAAAAACCATGGGGGGGTTCATCCGACCCCCCCCCCCTACACATGCGAGGGTTAAATCACAAGCTGAGACAGCATGAACTGCTCAGAAAAGGTCCTGACTCGTCTATCTATCGAACTCTACCAAGACTATCAACGGAAAACACTTCGATAAATCAAAGGCCAAAGGGACAACACGGAAACTGATGAAAGCTGGATATGCCCATGGTCCTAAATGAGATTGCAATGAAGGAACACTTTCTGCCAAACTATACAAGCATACTTATATCTATGCCTTATACAATCTTCTATATAGGTGCCGTTCTTTTTGTTGTTTTCTTTTTTATTGCTTCTATTCTATCATATGTTATTTTTTCTATTTCATTTTATTTTATGTTATCTTATTTGATTTTTGCTTAACACAATAATTTTCCATCACTCTGACATGTCTCTAAGACAATTTGCGGTCACAACAATGATAGCAGCCTAAGGATGACCAAGCATGACGTAAGTGGCATAATGTGGCGCGGGGTCACTGTGCAATATTCTAATTCGGCCGCGCCGGGCCGGTGCTCTGAGATTCCGCGCCGGGCCGGGGGGTCTGAACACCCCCCCCCCCCTTCTAACTCGGCTCCTGGGCCACGTAGTGACACGCGAAAAGCGGCAATCGAAAGAACGTCCAAATTAAGGACAAAAACACTTCAGTCATTTTTTGGGTCAGGTCAAAGGTCAGGTCACCAGAGGTCACCAAAGGTAAAATGTTGACTATTTCAACATTTTGAAAACTGCCGACGGCTATCTCAAGAACCGATAGAGCTACAGCGCCGTAGAAAAGCGCATTCGATAGCCCTTTTACATACCTTTCTGAGCAATGTTCTCAGATTTGACCTCAGGTCAACGGTTTAGCCCCCAGAGGGCAAAAACTCCAAAAATAGCCGATTTTACGGAAAAGGTTTTGGGCAATAACTTTTGACTCGAAAGACCTATGACATTACTTTTGCCAGCGTCGTGTTCCTCTCGTCAAGACGCGTCGAATGAACTATAATTTGACCTTGAAAGGTCAACTTGAAAATTTGACCTCAGGTCAAGGTCATGACATGACCGGAAAAGGTCATGTTGCATATCAGTCGATCCGCAACGTCGAGCCGAACACATCTAAGGCGTTTTCAGCGCTCTAGCACGCCTCTATCAGAAGTTATTAGCAAAAAACTGTTAGATTCTGTTCGTGACCTGAGATAACATCGGGGGCATAACGGGGGTCACAGTTGCCATTTTCTGGTTCAGTGTGTCAATTTTACCTACATCTCGATGTTTGAGAGTGTCTAGAATAGCGTTCGTGCAAAACAGACGCTTTTCAATTTTCTCCCATTGACTTAAAATGGAGAGGCCGCAAAATTGACCTAACCTTAGGTCACCGATATCAAAATTCCAAGATATACATTTTACAGATAGTATTGCTTTAACACGCGCAGTGGAAGGGTTGCGAGTACTACGCCCAGTGGAAGGGGGGCGGATGTCGCCCCCCCCCCTAAGATCTCAGCTCCCACTGGAGCTAGAAAGACGAAATTTGGAGGGTAGGTGGGGGCCCAGGGGAACTCTGTTGTGTGTGAATTTCATGACCCTAGGTTAATATCTTCAAGGTCAAATGAGGTCAAAAGTGGTCAAATCTTCCATATTAGCGACTTTTTTGCGTTTACACGCCGATAACTCAAAAAGTTACTGGCCGATTTTCTTTTTTCTTTCACTGTACGAAAGAACATACATTTGTGAGTAAGTATGGTGAATTTCTTGTCCAACAATAAATATGGCAGTTAGAAGCCTGCTAAGCGTAAGATGTCGCCGGCTGAAGCGGGATCGGCGGACGCGGGAAACACGGCAATCACAATTCTGTGTTTACACACTCATAACTCAAGTTGTTACCGGCCGATTTTCAAAAAATTTTTACCATAAGATTGCCTGTACATTTCTTAGTCTTCTCACAAAATTTGACGCGAATCCAACATAATCAGCGGTAAGGAGCGCGATGTAAAGACGGAACCGTCCCGCCCCGGCACAGTCTACAATTCAGGCGGCGCGTAACGGCTAGCACCGGCCGCCGCGCCCCCGCGCCGCCGCGGCGGCAGGATGTTTTGACTTTACACCGCTATTACTAGAAAAGTTGTGACCCGATTTTTTTATTTCTTGCACGAGAAGATCTGCAGTTCAATTCTGGACAGGTAGCCAAAGTTTCACATTAATATCATGTTTGCGGCGCGAGTTATTGGCGAAAAACAGGAGGGGTGGGCGAAATCCGCCCCCCCCCCCCTTCCACTGCGCGTGTTAATCAATCGCTGAAAGTTTCAAGGCAATCGTTCAGTCGGTGTAGCTATGACGAGCATTCTTATTTTTTCTGAGGTGAGGTCACTTGGCGTGACCTGGTGACCTGACCTAAGGTGACCTGG